AAAAGTTTTTTTCAGGGTCAAAGTCATCGTCCGATTCATGATAATGTTGTTCAGTGTCTCCAATTGTGTTCAGTTCCAGATCCAGTCCCTCAAAAACTATTAACCTCTGTAGCAAATCACTTGCCTCATTCCGTACGTGGGTCATACTTGTTGTTGGTTCCTGCTAATTGTTGGTTCCAACGCTCATCTGCCCTCGCAGACATCAATATACCTGCGTGTTTCTTCATACAGCTGAGGGTCCAGCGACCCCTTCATAATCTCCTTGTCTCGGCATACTGGTCCTCAGCGTAAAATATACTGTAGAAACAAGACAAGGAAATGCAATTCTGAGCCCACTTTGGAACTGATCAAACTTATTGGCATCATTATTTGAAATCACAGAGAACCTAATGAAAATGGAGTTTGATTCCTGAGAGCAAAGTCGGACCTGCTGGCACACAGCACATGCGTATACTGGTAATAATATCAGAGATGGGAGCAATCACAAGTGAGACTGCTGTACATTTAATAAAAAATTAGTATTGAGAACAAAATGTAATCACTGCATGAAAAAAATTTTAAGATCGTGTAAAAAGTGATGTTTTGTCTAAGTGGTTCAGTTGGTAGAGCAGTCTCCCAACCGGAGAGTTGAAGGCTCAAATCACGGTGCCTGCAGTCCACATGTCCAAGTGTCCTTGGGCAAGACACTGAACCCCCAAGTTACCCCCGATGGTTAGAACAATCGGTGTGAGTTGGCGCCGTAGATGGCTGGCTAGGCTCTGTACTGGAAAAAAATTCCTTGTGTGTAACATACTTGGCCAAATAAAGGCAAGTATCCTTATCCTTAAGAAGAAGAAGAAGAAGCTTGTTGTGTCTCTCAAGGAAAAACGAGCGGAAAACAAAATGTACGTAGTACATGATAAGATGTTTGACTTTGATTTTTTAAAGGTAAACATATCAAAGTACTTATCCACCTGAAATAAACCTGGATTTTGCTTTGGTTTTGTTACTTACTCAGTATGACAGAATATGGAGCCAGGCTCTGGGAAGAACAAGAATCAATAAGCAAAATCAGAATCGCTAAGCGATAATCAACCTCACAATTTGAAGTCTCTTCTGACCATTTGCAGTTAGTCACTGCAGAAAAGGTGCTGCTTCTGGTGGGATTTAGACTGAGACAGCTTAAATGTTGCTCTCATAGGCCTCACTTGTTTGTAAGTCTAGTGTGAGCACGCGCTCTTCTCAGCCTCAGCCTCCTTTTCCTCACTGGCGACCTTCTCAGAAACAGTGTGGACTGACACTTGGATGTCAACAATGCCTCCTTGGCTCCCCCGCTCTTCGCTGGACAGCAGCGTCTGACGTGCCGCCTCCTCCTCCCCATTCCTGTCGGGGCAGGGTGGGCCTACAGCTTGTCTATTCCCAGACACCACCGTCCTGACTGGCTCTGCAGGGTCAGACACAGGGATCACCGTCTCCGTGATCTCCTCCACGAATGTTCGGCAGTTCAGGATTAGTGGCGGCAGAGGCACACTCCGTGCCAACTCCTCAATGTGACGGGCAAACTCCATGGTCTTGAACTGCGTGATCTTGGCAAACTCCTGCGTCTTGGCTGATGTGATGATGGGGATGCGCTTCGCGACCTCAAAGGCCTTCTGCAGCTTCTCTGCTCCCTCAGTGCGGAAGAACTCGTTGATGGCTCTCTCCGTCTCCTTGAGGTGACTGCTGACCATGCAGACTCTTGTGATATTGAGGATAATTGTGATGGTGAAGGCTACTAGGCAGATAATGACAAAGTACAGGCCCAGGCCACTTTCAGTGTAGGCTACACGCAATGTGATGGTGTAGTTCTTGGTCATGCCTGTGCCGCTGGAAGCAACACAGGTGTAGCGACCACGGTCCTCAAAGGAGACCACAGTGATGTTCAGGACACCATTCTCTTGAATCTGCCAGCGCCCATCTGGAGTTCAGACACAAACGACAAGACAGTTTGTTTTACTAAAAATTTTAGAGGGGAAAAAAAAAGAAAACATGAAGAGACTGACATTATGAGCAAACTGGAAAATCAAGTTTATAATGCAGCATCAAAAACATTTACACATGCCAACAACCCCAGTTTACACTCATTAAAGTTCCATTTTATACCCTAACACTCCTCCTACCTGCACCGTCAGCCAGGAGAATTCCTTCAGAGTTGTACCACTTGATGTCATTGTGGTGTCCAGTAACATTACACTCAATCAGTGTGCTGGATCCTTCTTTCACCACAATATCCCTCCTAGATGGGAGGCTGGCCATCCAAGAGGACGACGCCGCCTCTGACACATTCTGAGCTCCGTCTGCTGTCCCCAGTAGCAGGACGAGATGCAGGACTGTCAGGTGGTGGTGATGAGGTGATAACATGTCGAGAGGATTTACTGCTTCAACTCGCACTTAGACAAGAAAAACCTGCAAAACAGGAAGAGCGAAGGGTTATGGTTCAGACCCTGTCTGCATAATTCATTCATTCATTCATTTTCTACCGCTGCATAATCTATAGTATAAATCTGCAGTCTTCAGAAGGATTACTCAGAACACAATACTTTCTAGGATTATTTTTGAATTTTATCTGTTTTAGCTGTGAAAAAGTTTTTCGCTCAGCGCATTTCTTTTTCTTTGATCCGTTTTTCATACTTCCTCAACACACCTCTACTTTTAACAATTGCCTAATTTGCATTTTGTTACATAGATGTGATTTCATTGCTTCATTTGTTTCCCTGTAGCCTACAGATTTTCAGCCTGAACTATTCGCTCCTTTGACTTTTCAATGTCTTCATAACATCACTGCTTACTGTAAATCCTTGAACAGCTGGCACATTTAAAACATTTTTGTGGTGCACAAAAGTGAAATAAATAATTAATGAAAACCAAACCTCTCGGATACAATAATGATGTTTCAAGCAAATATTACCAGAAGGAAAAAAGCCACAGACCAGAACCCTAAACAAACACCAGAGACACGCAGAGCCAGTGACCCACCTCCTGCAGTAATCAAAACATTAAAACCTCAACAGACATATGTTCAAAGACCATTTAGTCATTTCACTCCTATTTTATCATGTAATTCAGCGTTTACCATTAAGTATTGCGGCCAAACCAACACGACCATTCCGGTCCGTTCACTTCCTAGTTCAGGACAGGTACCTGGCAGTGGGTGTGGCTTGCTGTTAATTCTTATGTGCACGTAGGTGGCTTCCCCCAGTGATGAAACCATGTTCAATTAAAGTGAGTAGTTTAAAATGACAAAGATTTCATTATGTGTATTCAATATTTAATCATGTTGTTTACATACACCGATAGCGTCAAGAAGAATATATTAAAATCGGCAAATCTGTGAAGTTGCACAGTATACTTAGTTAAATATAGAAGCCTATATGTGATTTTGTTTTACATTGTAAATTTTAATTGGGTTTAAGAATTTATCTGACATTTAATTCTCATTTATATTTGTAATTTTGCAGTAAAAATAATTAATAGACATGGAAGACAAATGACAAATAAACGTGCATTTTATTTTAATTTTACCGGAAGTGTGATTGCTTTTATTTTGACTGTTTCGAAATCTTTTTAATATGATTTGCCACGCTTGATGTGATTTAATAATTTGGAAAATTAACTAATGGGAGATAGGGGTTTTGCCATAAAAATAAACTAATAAAAAATCAACCCCCGACTAAGGCAATAATACCTTCTAAAAGGTAAAAAGGAGGGTCTAGTTGTTGTAAAACTAAATGTACAGAGGATCTTTAGCTTTTGTCGTGATACAGATTCCCCCTATGAACCTTAGTGTTTTTAAGCATACTTTTATTTTGAAGGTGCCAACCGGACATTTAAATTGGACATTTTATTAATAAAGTTTCAACTAACTGTAAGAATAACAAGAATGGACAAAGTTTATTTGAAGTATCATTTTGAGTGAGTCATTAAACTGTTTTCGGACAAACAAAAAAGAGTTTAATGTGTACAAGCTGGAGTGCAAACCGAAATAAAAAAGATAGCATTTGTAATCTGTAATCGCTGTAATATTAGAAAGGAAACTTCACGTTATCTCAAGGTGCTAACGTTAACTGCTAGCGTCAAGACACTGACAGCTGCGAAGGGCAAAGGTGAATTTGTAGCAAGGTAAGTTTGTTTAGTTTCTGACAAAGTTGTTAATGAATACAGTTTAGGATAAACTACTGCTAAAATAAACTGTACACGAAAGAGTCATTAGCTCATCAAATCTACTAGCAACCCATAGTTGAGCATCGTGTCCTAGTTTGTACATTGAACACACGACTAGCAAGTCAACTACTGGTGCAGTAACACAGTGATGTTAAGTGAATACAAGATACTAATGGACTTCTTACAGACATGAATGTAAGGTTTATCACGCTTATTTCATACATTTATGGTTGTGTGCGTGGAGTGTTTTCTTTAGCACTTGCATAGAAATAATATATGAAGGTGTATATATTATGTACAGTATTCAACTTATTCTGTTTTTCTTGTGAACCAGACCCGATTTGTGTCAGAAAATCCCAGCTGGCCTATTCTGTTTTTCTTGTGAACCAGACCCTATTAAAACGATCACTCTCCAGTTGGACAGGTAACCAACTGTTGGTTGTTGTTGTTGAAATGCAGACTGGGAAGTGTAGACATCACAGGTTGTTGTTGTTGAAATGCAGACTGGGAAATGTAAACATGACAGATTGAGTGAAGGTGTTATTACAGAGTAACTCCTACAATGAGTGCATTAGTGTTTTGATCTAACTGTTGAAGAATTATTGGATTCCTTAAACATCACAACTGTTATTTAGCCATAGTTATTACAAAACACTTGTGAACTCAAAAATCTTCAAATGGATCATTAACTAGTCCAATCTGTCTTTGGTTCTCTTGCATACAAACCTGCCTGCATCGACTTGTGTGTGTGAAAAGTGTAGTTAACCTTTGATTTCCCTTCCTGTCTAGACCTGTGAGCATTTGATGCCTTCAGTATCAAAACTGTTTAGTTGCATGTTCATCTGGCTAATACTTAATTCCGTTGTTCTTGTTTTCACTTTGAAGACATGCAATAGGTGCTAAGATGTCAGACAGTGAAGCTACAGCAACAGAAGGTCCAGAGGTGGCTCCGGAGATTCAGAACGCCTCTCCTGCCAAAACACATGACACCTCCTCTCCGACTACACCTGACATCTCGACTGACGTGGCCCCGACGAGGAAAGCCAGGAGGAGACCGGACCCCAAGTCTACAGCTGAAGCTGAGGAGATGCCAAAAGCAGAGGAGCAGCTGGCAAAGGTACTGTGGGATAATCATAAATTATACTAGACAGAACTTCAGAAAAATGGTCAAATGAGCACTTCTTGTGAAGACGTGACAGCTGTTTGCTGTAAACACATCTATGGTTTTTGGCATTTTAAACATAAGAACTTACACATTTAAATAGACATGAGCTAACATTTTGTCAGAGGAGGTCTCCTGTTACCTGGCTGTAATTTTCCTCTTGCCAAAGTAATGATGTACCAGCATTCTCATAACAGAGGCTAAAAGGATTCATTAACCTGGGTCTGTTGAATCATCTGTGTGGCCAACCTCCTGGACTTACACTTGACAGTGTCCTGTGTTGCATAACTATTAACGTGTTGTGAGTTGAACTGTGTTTTATTGCTGGTGATAAGTGGGTGGTGATCACTTGTCTCTTATCAGTTGACTTCTCCATTAACACCACACCAAAGATCACTGTGCTTTGTGTAACTGATGCGATTTCTTTCGCATTCATGAATTCTGTTGCTTGATCTCCCTCGTTGTCCTGTCTTACTCCTCTGTATCCTCATGTCCACTCTCTTAGACACCCAGTGAGTCCACTGTGTCTCCCAGTGGTTGGGGATACTGGGGCAGCTGGGGCAAAACCATCTTATCCACAGCAACAGCTACTGTGGCCACTGTGGGTGAGTACAGACCACCTAACACAATCTGTCTGTATTGTATACAGTGTGTATGATGATTTTTTTTTTCTTATCTACTTGGAGAGATGTCCTAAAAAACTACACACCATTGTCCTCTAATCACATGCCTTAGCTTTGTCTGTCTTTAGTTCTTCAGCTGAGCCAAAGAGGCATGTAACCAGCTGTTAACTGTTTAATAGTTCAGCATATTTACTGTATAGCGCTGTCCTTAAGCAGATCACATGATGTGAGATGCTTGATGGTGCCTAAAAATGAATCTTTCCAAACCATAACTTTGTCTTTTTCAAGGTAACTGTGGTTGTGTGTATGCATGGGAGCTGGTTTGTGTTGATCACTGAACTTGAACACAGTTGATTAGAGAAAAGCCTAAGAAACTATTTGAATTGGCTCCAAAAACAAAAAAACTTCTCCTATGATGTGAAAACATGCTGTCTCACATCACTGTTTCCAGTCTATTACAGATTAAACCTCTTCACTGCTATACATGCTGCATGTCTCCTGTGTGTCCAGGCCAAGGGCTCACTCAGGTGATAGAAAAGGCTGAGACGTCTTTGGGAATTCCCAGTCCGACTGAACTGTCGGTGCAGGTGGGGGAAGAGCAGAAACAGCAGGGTAAGACATTTTACTGTTCCCTGTTTGAGTTAGCGGCTCCTCCTTGGTGATTATTTAGGACATGACAGATTTCCTCATACTGTGTAATCCTTTTATAAGTGTATGTGGTTTGTTTCTTCTCCTGCAGGCAATGCCAGCGGTGAGACGGACAAAGCAGCAGAAGACGGATTATCAGCAGTGGGAGGTGCAATGGGAATGCTGTCATCACTCACCAACGTCGTCCAGAGCACAGTAAGCAGTCACAGTCACTTGTGTATGAATTATTCTTGTTCTAGGGCAGAGGTTCTCTCTTCCTATTGGGTTTAGGATTTATGCACAGCTGCTCAAACTGGATAAATCTCAGTTCCCTTATTGGATTGCTCCTTAATCCTCACTCCACCCAGATGTCATTTCGGTCTGCCATCCTGAAGCTCTTATTAAGATGAATGTGGAGAACTATGGGGATGAGCACAAAAGCTGCCAGAGCATAGTTTGAATCACTGCTTCTAAGATTATTTAGTGCAACTGCAGGCCCAGCAACCAAAGTAGAAAAAGGGTATATATCTTAATCTGCTTAATAACTTCAGTTTCACTGAATAAACATGTACTTACTTTACTTTAATGCTGTTTGCTAATTGCAAGTGTTGCTTTTTTTTTTTTTTTAAACTGCTGGTTATCACACTGAAACTAAACCTGCTCACAGGGTAAGACGGTGATAACAGGTGGTCTGGATGCTCTGGAGTTCATCGGGAAGAAAACGATGGATGTGATAGCAGAAGGTGACCCTGGCTTTAGGAAGACCAAAGGACTGATGAACAGGAACATAACTCTGTCTCAGGTAGGCAGACAAGGGATGAAGGCTGAACATTAGACAGAATTAATCTTAATGGATCTAATTCAGGTGAGAGGACACAAGATCTAAATAAACACTGTTTAAAGGCTAGCTTTACTGGTTGTCTGACCCAGAGTGCAGTCCTGTTGCCTTCATCCATCACTGTCTCTCAGCTCTGTTGCTTTCTTTCTCTCAGGTGTTGAGGGAGGCAAAGGAGCGCGAGGAGCTGCAGACAGCACAGAAAGAGGCGCCTGATTCGGAGAAGGTGGTCGCTCACTATGGGATGCTGTTTGATGAATTTCAGGGCCTCTCACACCTCGAGGCTCTGGAGATTCTGTCTCGGGAGAGTGAGTTGAAGGTATGATTGAAGTTCTGCTCCATAATAAGACACCTACTATAGCAAAATAGAGTGACTGACACATTTAGGTGTTACAGAATTCAGTGGAGTGACTTTGAGTGTGTGTGTGTGTGTGTGTGTGTGTGTGTGTGTGTGTGTGTGTGTGTGTGCTGCAGGTGAAGTCGGTGCTGACCACCTTATCGGGAGACGAGCTGCTTCAGCTCAGAGAGGAGCTGGATCATATCAAGGACTCCTTCTCCCTAGTGGAGTTTGATGATGAAGAAGTCGACGAGACGAAAGGTAACATCTCTGTAAAAACACCAGCACTGTGAGGAGAATACAGCACCATGTAAATCATCTAAATGACTGAGTGTACATTTCACAATTCCAGATGAAGATGGTACAGAGTTTGAGAGGGAGTTAACGGAGGCCTTGGAGGGTCTCGGTGTCTCTGCCACGGCTGACAAACTCAGCAAGGTACCAGTTCTATATTGGATTCCTGAAGCTCAGAAGAGAATAGAGAAATATGTGACGCTATAATCCAATTAAATATAGCATCATAAAGTTCAGATTCCAAAATAAAATGAGCCCAGAGTTGTATCAAAACCTTTGTTGTTATCTGAAAAACAGTAGTATAGCAGTTGTATTTACTGCATGGCTGATGTTTTGGATTGTGAGGTTCATGTTCACAGGTATTTCAGTTGTTAGCTGGCCATTCAGAAACCTAAGAAGCAATGCTGTGTGAACAGGGTGGCAGCTGTGTTAATGGTTTCTAACCTCCAACAGGCTTGTAAGAACACCTGTAGCCAGATCACTGACATGACCCAACCAGAGAAGGAAGAGAGCGACGAGGACGTTAAGAAAACCCTTTCAATAGAGGTAGGCAGAGAGCGATATGAGAAAGTGTGTGTGAATGCTTTAGCATTACCTGGTTTTCTTCATAAAATAGGATCTCATCATCTGAGTCAAGTGTAAACAGTCAGTTCTGATCTTTTGTCTGCTTTGAACACCCGTTAAACATTCACAGTGCAGGTGGAAAAGTAAGGGATCTTACAGCATCTCTGTTGGGTCGAGCTCTGGGCTCTGACTGGACCACACCAAATGGCAGATTCTACAGTCCTTCTGAAGTAGATTTACTTAAGGGTCATTGTCCAGTGTCCAGTCTCTACTGAGCTACAGCTGGTAGGCAGTTGTCATGATGTCATCCTGTGAGAATATTTAATAAGCTTCATTTCATGCAGGCACAGGGAGAACAAGCAAAATCCACACAGAATAGACTTTTACAGTTAAATGTTAATCTGTTAAATATGAAGAAACTGCGAAGATGCTTATCACAGTTCCTCAGATCCCACAACTTGTAGCAAAGATATTTAATGCACATTGATATAAAAGAGAAAAATCAGTGTTTGGCAATTTTGCTTTTTAAATGTCTAAATGATGGATTGTAGATAATTTTCCTATTAGTTGACAAATGGATTTACAGTAGATCTGATACAATAATGATATTTCAAGAAAATATTACCAAAAGGAAAAAAAGCCAGAGACCAGAACCCTAAAAAAAAAACACCAGAGACACGCAGAGTCAGTGACCCACCTCCTGCAGTAATCAAAATATTAAAACCTCAACAGACATATGTTCAAAGACCATTTAGTCCGTTCACTCCTATTTTATCATGTAACTCAGCGTTTACCATTAATTAAGATTAAGATCACTGTAAAAGCACTGCTCTTTTGTCAGCGCAGCTTTGGACCCCATTCTATCATATTGGTATATGTTTTTGAGTGTTTCCTGGTCCATTCAGGTGTGTGTGTGTGTGTGTGTGTGTGTGTGTGTGTGTGTGTGTGTCCTTGGGATTGTAGGTCAATGTAAAGTCACCAAGAGGAATGAAAACACACTTTTGTCTGTATCTTGCCAGGAGGTCCATGCTGTAGCCATCAGGAGTCTGGCTGAGCTGACTGCTCGATCCATTGAGCTTTTCCACAAGCTGGCTCAGATGATCGTCTTCTGCAGCAGCAGCGCCGAGGCCAGCGTCCTGTCACAGTAAGACAACAGTCATTCTGTCTGTCTGAGCATGTGGAGATACTGCAGCAGCTTCATCTCTACTTTAACTGAATGTCTGTAATTTTTCATATTGTGTGTCTTCAGGTTAACCATTGTTTTGTGTAAAGAAATCTCACAGCTTTCCAAAAGGTTCACCTCCTGCTTGACAGCTGCAGGGGTAAGTGTTACTCTTCTAAGTTCTGTGTTTCTAAGAGCTGCATTATAAAGTTAAACAATTCACTTAATTTTGTCAAATTAGGACAAATTCTCAACCCCACTCCCCTTTTTGTTTCTAGTTGTATTTCACTTAATGTAGCAAAACGTATCCTGCTCTTTGCACCTTCAGCATTTTCATGTTCAAAACTGCATGTGCCACATTTGATCACTGTTTTTGTTGGTTAGAGAGATGATCTGATTTAAATCCTGTCTTACAGTCACATGAGAAGGGAGATGTCCTCAACCCGCTGATAACAGGAGTCTTTTTAGAGGTTTGTGGCACAGTACTGCATACACAGAGGACAAATCGATTGAAACAATTAGCCATCATTATTAAAATAGTTGATGTTTGTTAATTGAGTAATCTAAGGCTTTGCATGGTTATTGTCTGTTTGTTTTGACCAGTTGAATGGGCTTTTAAAAATCTCCAAACACTGGCTTTATTCCAGTAAGAGGAAACTTATTGAAATAATTTCCCACCTTCTCCTGTCTTGGTTAAAGACATTAATTTTATATTGGTGGAAATCCTCCAACAATCAAAGGAAACAGTGGAATTATCTCACAAATATATTTAGCTGTCAGATTATCTGCATGTGTGTTATGAGAAAATACAGAGGTTAGTATGGACATTTCAGAATGATATTGTTTGTGCCGTGTTCTTCGTGTTTCATGTGCTTTGAATCCTCCATCACAGGCATCCAACAGTGCTTCTTACATCCAGGATGCTTTCCAGCTTCTAATGCCTGTACTGGAGATTTCCTACATCCAGAGGAGAGCTGAATCCACCGAGCCGTGACCAGCTGGCGTCACCACTGAACTGTACCACTGCCATCGTGCTGCGACTCTGTCACAGCAGAGAACTTCTTTTAAAAACTGTCCACGTCAGCATTTTCTCTGTGGTTCTCAGCTCAGGACAAAATCAGTTTTACACCTGCAGGAAAGTGTGTTGTTGTCAAACAGTGTTAACTTTTTGTACATTGCTGGTTTTTTTTATAACCATTTAATAATGTATTTTTTCTTGACTGCACAGAAAATACTTTGGGTTTGGTTTTCTATGCATATATTTCTTAAACCCTGTCATCCAACATATTTCTGGTCCTGGAACAGCAAATGTGTCTTTTTACAAGCACACTAATAAGGAATGAATAAGTAGACAGTGTTGGGATTTAAACGTATGACTTTTTGTAGTCTTTGTGGCCACCAGGCCATCGCTTATCTGTCAAATCAGGTTCTAGCTGACTCGAGAGGCCTTAAGTTACTTTTGAAAATCTTCAGTGCATAAATTATTGTTCTTTTAATTTCTGGCAATGTTGACAATATCCTTAAATCATGGGCAAACTGACTGTAAAAGCTTATACTTCTGTTGGTTTTATTCTTTTCTCTGACTGTCTTTTTGCTAAATGTCACATGGAATCTTAAGTTTCAGTAGCCCTTCATAATCTAAATACTTCCCATCTGGTCTTTTTCTCTTTAGACAGCCCCAAAATGGAAGACTTTAGAATTGCAGACAAAAACTGACTTGCTCTTTAGCTGCTGTGAGGTTTGACTTGATGTGTTAAAGCAAAAACGCTCAAGTTTTACTCTGGTAAAATCAGAGAACAATAAAAAATAATAGGGAAGACTAATGTGTCAGACAGCTTGGATATTTGCATTGAGAGGCCTTTAAAAACACTAACAGCTTTGAACATGTTTTGAATTGACAATGTATTTAATCAGAATCATCATTCCTAATTAAAATATTATACCTATTACTATGCCATCCTTCCATATTCCTGACATAAAAGGCAAAGGTCACAGCTTTGTCCTTCTTGTAAGTTTACCTTTCACTAGGAGAAATATACAAACATAAGATTGTAAAATTGTGGCAGTTACAGGTTGATAAGTTTTAGTGTGCATCAAAAGATGTCAGTCACGTTTCTTTAAATTTGTGGTTATAGTGGGGACATATACTTTGTGAACCTGTGTTGTGGGGAGCTTTTCATGGTTTGTCTCCCTTCCTTCCAATTCAGGAAAATTGTGTCACAGCAAATGCCCATTGCAAGCCAGACGTTATCATTCCATATCAGAGGCCGACTTCTTGATTTCTTGTGACCGAATGGGAGCGAACCCATTGGCCGTTTGGTAGGAAATTGTTCCAGCGGTGGAGGAAATGTGAAAATCCTTGTAAAAATAATCCTCCAGTAAAACCTCCTTGCCTCTGAGGAGATGAAGTAAGGAAACAATTACTGGAGTTCAAGTAGCCTACTTCAAATTTGCAGTATAGTAGGCCACTTACATTAGTTGCATTCTGGCACTTAGTAGATCCAGTTTATATTTTCAATTGCCATTTTCAATGTATGGAGTAAAATCACTGCAATTGCATGCTATCTGCAGAATTATGTCAAATACAGGAAAAAAATTACCAGTTGGACCCACATGAAGATTTATTTCATGTCGTTCACACTCCAATTTACTAGGTGGCGCTGTGTATATTCACGGTCTAATTAACGATCCATACAAAGAGGCAGGGGCGGAGGAACATGAAGAAGACAGGTGCCATTAGCAGGTTACGTCGGGGAAAATATCGGGTAAATATTTCTTTGTATTTTATCATTTCTACAGCAATGCTCTGTCGTGCTCTGCAGCGCACAAGGCTGCTGTGAGATGTCGATAAATGAAAATGCAGAGTCGTTTGATTAAATCTGCTCCGGTTATGTTAGCTTTCTTAATAACGCGAGGATTAACTTGTAAACGTTAGCCGTTCATGCTAAGCGTTCAGCTAGTAGTTCAGTCCCTCGCTTCAACGCAGTTAGCTAGTATTATTAGTATTTTAAGTTATATGGTTATGAAAACTTCCTAAATGGATAATCACTATGCACAGTTCCAAGACTTTCTCAAGTTTGACATCATTATATTTAGATATCAGTTGCGTTAGCTAGCTTGTTATAACGTTAAGCAGCCAACAACGTTAGCTAGCCTACTTAAAGTTAACTCATCTTGATGTCATGGTAACGCATAGTAACCAAGGTCCATTAGCTAAGAGGAAATCAAAAGTTAATATTTTGTCTTGGCAGTTAATGAACTTAGTAAACGCTATAATCATACACTGATTGTCAGGCTACGTGATTAGCTGGTGACTGATATAACTGAAAGTTGCAGTTGTTTACTTCTGGTTCACGTTGTCTGCTTTGAATGAATCTCGTCTTGGCGGTAACGTTAATGCTTTGTACTCATAATGATGTTGCCTCATGTGTGTTGTCTCTTGTTATTTTAACACTAGCATTGTTCCACAATCCCTATTTAGCTCCACGATATCCTGTATAAGTTAAAGCGAGATTCAAATGTGTTTGCTAACTTCCTCTTACGATCCTCTTCCAGAGTTGTCTGTCTTCATCACACAACCGCCCGCCTGACCCCTTCACAAGTGCAGCAGGATTCTCGGGGTTTTGGTTATCTTCCTGACCTGCTAACATGCCAGCTGCGCTTACAGATTCCAGTCAGATAATCTGTGAAGTCTGGGCGAGCAATGTAGAAGAGGAAATGAGGAAGATCCGGCAGATTATTCAAAGCTACAATTACATTGCCATGGTAAGAGACGCTCATGGATGTTGGTGGTGTTAAATGAAATAATAACTGCATGTTTTCAACAAGATTAGATAAAAGAACAGGGTTTAAAAGTGAATGTGTAAAAAATAAAGATGATTTCTTTGAGTAGATAATGAGGGTTAAGGCCAAGTGGAACCAGCAAATGTTACATCACACATTTTCAGAGCACTTTGGTGTTTAATGATAGACTTGTCTTTATTATTCACCAGGACACTGAATTTCCTGGGGTGGTTGTGCGACCAATCGGTGAGTTTCGCAGCACAGTGGACTACCAGTACCAACTGCTGAGGTGTAATGTCGACCTGCTGAAGATCATTCAACTTGGGCTCACGTTCATGAATGAGGAGGGAGACTATCCCCCCGGCACAACAACTTGGCAGTTCAACTTCAAGTTCAACCTCACGTAAGCAGCCTGTTAATTTCTCCTATTCCCTCCTTGGCCTTTCAAACATTCACCCAGCTGTTTTCATCCTATGCCATCCAGATGTTTTCAGTCACTTTTCAGAAATGGATGATCTAATTAATGATCAAAATATTAGATTATTTAATCGTTGGTATCTATAATGAAGAGCAAATTATGTCAGTTTAGTTTGTATATTTTTAGCTATACACAAGTTTTTGTTGGATGAAGTTGTGTTCATCTTTACATAAAACGTGCGTTTTTGTTTGTTTCTTGCAGAGAAGACATGTACTCACAGGACTCGATAGACCTGCTCCAGAACTCCGGCCTCCAGTTTAAAAAACATGAAGAAGAGGGAATTGACACGCTCTACTTCGCTGAGCTCCTCATGACATCTGGTCTGGTGCTGTGTGAAAATGTCAAGTGGCTCTCCTTCCACAGGTCAGTTGTTTGTTCTGACTCTGCTTCTGCATCTTTGATGCCTGTTCGCACAACTCAAGAGTCCTACAGTTTATTACATTCTAGAAAAAAAGTCTTAAAAATTATTTATTATTACATTTACACCTGTATTTGTTTTATAATGTCATTTTATTACTGAAGCCAAAAGGTCTGTATATATTGGGAGAGAGAGTGGAGTTGAGGAGAAAGTGTGATAAGCTTAGGCACCTGTCAATCAAGGCAACCAGGTCCCTGAACAACATGTCCCCCCCTATTTTTGAAAAATAAAAAATGTTTTTTGTTACTCAAAAACTATTTTTGGGCAGGCTCCCAGCAGATGAACCCATTAAAGATAGTTTGATGTTGGCTTAAATTTGAGCCACGGTGACCACCTATTAACTTACGCCCAGTAATATCTTGTGTAACCCAACCGTCTTGGAAACCTCCTGCTCTGTTCTGTGTTCCTCAGTGGCTATGACTTTGGATACCTGGTGAAGCTTCTGACAGATGCACGACTCCCTGAGGAGGAACATGACTTCTTCCAGATCCTCAACCTTTTCTTCCCTGCGATCTATGATGTCAAGTACCTGATGAAGAGCTGCAAGAACCTCAAGGTATTGGCCTGAATAGGAATCAGCCAGGGATTGGCAGAGGAATTTCGTATAAATTATCAGAGGTGTTGCTGTTGAGACAAGTTGGTGATCATGTTCATGTTTATCCTCCACTTGCACACATCAGAAGACAGTCCATCAAGTCTATAGACATCTGACAGTTGTGTGTCTGTGCAGGGAGGGTTACAGGAAGTTGCAGACCAGTTGGAGCTGAAGAGGATTGGACGGCAACACCAGGCTGGATCAGACTCATTGCTTACTGGAATGGCTTTCTTCAGAATGAAAGAGGTACAAACATGCAGTAGTTTGATCTCTTTTAAATTCACTGCGGGATCGGTAGCATCAGCAGAAGCTCATTGGAGATTTCAGCCCATTTTCCTTTTGGTCTATACTGTCCACACCAGCAGAGGATCTTATTCACTGTAGACTCTAGAAACAGGGAACACTACTTTACCTGACATTTAAAAAAAATAATCTTTTTTTTGGTGAAGATCTGTTGAAACCTAAAGTTGATAACATCAGAGGTTGCATACAATAAGCAGAGTATGTGTCAAATGTGGCAGGGCTTTTATATTTGTTTTGAATTGATTCAGCTTCTCTGGGTTCAAAAACTTGTCTAACTACAACCACAACATCTGTTTAACAAAATAAACTTTCATAGATAATTAGACTATCACAGCCAAACTCCACAAATAATTGGAAATGATGCTATACTATACATGTGGAAAGACATTTCCCATGGTGCACAGAGCTCTTGCAGTCAGCAGCTCACCTGCCTCCTAAAACAGTCACTGCCTTTACTGCACGAGTTGTGTGGCGATCGCTTCGGTGCAGGACGAGCCTGTCCACTTCTTCATTACTTGAAAGTTTATAGTATGTTGCAGAAGAACAGGTGGGTTTTAAAATTCAGCAGTTATTTAAGTGACTTTTTTTTTTTTTGGTCCAGCTTTTCTTCGAAGACAATATTGATGATGCAAAGTATTGTGGGAGACTGTACGGCTTGGGATCGGGCTCCAGCCAACCCCAGAACGGCATCTCCAACTCGGGCCAGGAGGAGACCAACAACAAGCACTGATCCAGCGCTTGACCTTCAAGTGGAATTCACACTTGTTTTAAAATCCAACCAGCAGAGTTCCTCTCCAGTCTCCTCAGCACAAGACCAAACTAAAGTCCCCTCTTGCGTGACTGTCAGTGAACTCACAGCGACAGTGGAACCGTTTCCATTGACTTGCGCATTTCTTTTTAGTCGCTTTTATTGAGTTTACGCCCATACATTCAGAACCCTTCCTAAAAGTTAATTCTTCAATTACAGCAGCAGTAACAGCTCTTTAAAGCGCAGGACCAGCTTCTTCTGTGCAGACTGTGTGTGGCACTCCTCATTTTGTGGATTTCAGTTTTTTAAGTTAATGCTGGAAGGGCCTGTAAATTAAAATGTATAATTTTGATGAAAATAAATGTTTTAGCTCTTTTCCACTTTGAGAAACTTTTAACAGTGTAACTGTGTTTGGTTATGCATGTTCCAATGTATATTAAATTGTTTTGTATTTTGAATGTCAGAAGATGTTTAAAGTTGTTTATTGTAGGTCACTAGACCTCATGTCTGCAGTTTGTGAAATATGATGAAACTTAAAGCTCAGCCCCAAAATGTTTTCTTCTTTTCTGGAAAGTTGTCCAGTCTCAGAAATGATGCCTCAACCATGTTAGTGGTGCAACAAAGAAAACCAATCAACAGTTTTGATAATTACTCCAGTGCCAAATATTCTCTGGTTCTAACTTTCCTGTTATGATTTGATGTTTGGGTTTTGAGATGATGTTTTTGAAGACATCACTTCTGGCTCTGGGAAATGTGGACATTCACGCCTTGGAATGTATAAATAAGAATTTAATCAAAACTTCCACCTAGCCCTGTGGATAATGCCCAATTTTCCCAGAGTGAGGACCAGATATTCAAACTATAATGTTATAAAACAGAATATCCTCACATTTGAAAAGCTAAAAGAGAAAAAAAAGAAAAACTGTACATTCCCTTGGCATATTAAAGGAGAGGTACATTTTTCAAGTCTGTCCAAAAAACAAAGTCCATTGTCCATATAGACTTGTATTATTTTCAGACAGAAATGGAACCGACTGCCAACCTTAACCAAACAGTTCACGTTTTGAACAGGGCTGCATTTCAGATGTTTTCTGTTGTAAAAATATATTAAAACTTATATTCTAGCCCCAGTCTACTACTTTACTCTTTAACTGGATATTTAATATTTACTGTGGGTCCAGACTGGCATTTTGGCTATTAGACACCGCTGTCAGCTGTTATAGTGTGGAACATTCAAATTAGGATGTGGAGGCATGTTAAATTGGTGGGAATGCATAGCAACACATGACAGCACTCAACTGTTACCTGCATCTCCTGTGGATAAGGAGTTAAATCTCCTCAGCTCCAGGGGATGTAACTGACAGAAATCTGTCGGTGTCCTCAGGCACATCTGGATCCAGAATCAAATCCACTCACTATGTTCCATCATATAGTAACTGAAGATTTCTTTTATTCAACAAACAGCTGTGCAGTTGAAGTGCTCCCTACAGTCTAGTGGTGACAGAGTCAGGTTAAGAATCGCTGAGAGGCTTTCAGGACACACGGACTGGTTCCATATTTATGAAGCAGATCTTTGGCCTTGTGTTGCACAGACTCTGAGACAGATGAAGACTTGAAGTGCAGTAGAACCAGGCAACATTCAGCAACATCTGGATGAGGATACATCTTTGGGAAAACACAACATTGTATTAGTTCATTAGCATTGACGATCAAGTCCGAGACACAGGTATTCTTCTTTAAAGGTACATTAAGATTTACCACTTCTACACCCCTTCTGTTGTTATTCCAGCTTCTCTGCCCTGTGTGGTCAACGTACAGACTCCTACTCTAGCACCAACAGAAGGTTGATTGCTATGGAATTTGGTTCAGATATTCATGTCCCCTCAGGATGAATTCAGCGACCCCTCTAACTATTCATTTAGCTCCATTATCATGTTAAAATAGAATCTGTCCAGTACTTCTGAATACAGAATCTCCGGAATTGATGATGGTGCCAAAGCCTTCATTTCTACCTTGTTTTGTGCCAATTAGCAAATGTTCCCACACCAACAAGATAAACTAAGATGGATCTGATAAACAGTAGACTTCCTTAACATCAGCATGTTATTGGGAGCCTGTTGTCTTGCTGATATTATTTACTGAAAGCGCTGCTGTGTCAAAAGCCTCAGAGCTGCTTGTGTGGCTGTGGACCTGTTGGGTTATTGATACATGACGGTATACAGCTGTTCTCACTCGGCATGTTGTGCACAGGGTACCTTGACTGTGTCTGGCAGGTCAGCCAGCTGTTTCTGGTACTCTGACATCCTGGTGGACAAAGACGGGAGAGTCTCCTGGTCATCCGTGCTGAGGGAGAGAAAACATTTGAATCAACAATGACAAGCTGTTGGAAGACAACTACAGGACAATGAGGCTCTATTTCAAATCCAGACAGGCAGCGAAAACATGAAATCTTTATCATTACTATACTTTAACTTTACAAAGTAACTAATACGTATGCCTGCCAGAGTAATGGAGTATAAAGTACAGTATTTCCCTCTTAAATATAGTTGAGTAGAACTATAAAGTGCAAATACTCAAGTACAGTTTTGAAGAACTCATAAGTGCAGTATTTATAGTAAGTAGTCTCTTTCCACCTCTATCACTATACATTAGTTTCATTAAAGACCTGCACTTGCAGTTAGTTTACTGCTAATGTGTTAAGTCATTGTCCAGTCACTGATCAGACACTGTTAGATTAGGAGAAAAAATGAATTTAGAAATGTTATTTAGTGTGAAGTGTTTTCCTCAAATGTAACCTGTTGTATCTGGAATAAAATCTTCTAGCTAGCAGCATGGCTTCATACCAAACATGAAATGAGGAACTAATGTGTCAGCAGAGCCCTCACCGTTGCTCAACCTCAGTGGACCTCTGTGTGGCTGATGACTCTCCTGTGGAAGATATTTGTGTGTGTTCATCTTCCTCTTTCTCCCCAGTATCAAGCTGCCCCCCGTGTGCTCGGTTGTGCTGCAGCACCATGGCGGCCAGCTGCTCCTGGATCTCTCCAACTGACCTCTGGGTAGACTGATATGCAGCATGAGGCTCAGACAGAAGCAGCAAAACATCAAAGTCCAGTTTATCCAACCTGCTGGTCAGTGGCATTATGTTCTCCTCTGACTCTGATGGAGCTCTGTTAACTGTATCACTCCCCTTGTCTGGAGGACAGGTTTCATCTGCTGAGAGCGAGAGTCCATTCTGGATGTCCTGGTTGTCAGCCGAGTTGCTCCACCAGCGTTCATACAGGCGGTGGTAATGGACAAAGGCCTGGAGGCTGTTAGCCGCAGCCTTGGCCTTGTCTTCTGTGTGATGAAGTGTTTTGGAGTGTTTCCTGGAACAAATACTGACGTCACCTGATGAAGGACAAAAAATAAATAAGTATGGAGAATGGTGCAAAAGCTTTAGCTGCAGATTAGAAGAAAAGCCAAACACGGCATCTTCAAATTCAACTCGAAGCGTCTCAGTCGACTGACAGGCCTCACGACTAATGATTCAATCAGTCGTCTTTCAGGAGGCAGCCCTAATCATCAGCATGGCAGCGTGTAGTTACAAACTGCCAAACCACCAGTCATCACAGGGTGTCACCAAATCGATCAGAACAAAAATCTTCAGGCTCTACACTCAAAGCGTGAACAGTATACATCACACTGCATGCTTGAAATAAATTTAATACTAACATCAGTCTCTGAATGATGCCAAAAATGCATTTAAGATTGAAATACTGAAAATTCTGAAATGGCCGGTCACACAGACAGACACGTACCATCAGGGAAGAGCAGCCTGCAGAGTTCTGCAGAGGCACAAAAATGCCCGGTGTCACGGAGACAAGCCACCGCCTGCCACAACTCCTGTATCAGCTGTCCATCATCATCCAATAACCAGCTCAACACAGCGCGAGTCAGATGGAGAGATGAAGAGAGCAGGACCTGTGGATGAAGAGAGAAATACATGGACCAACAAATAGAGAAAGACAGCTAAACACAGGTCAGTTTATCCAACTTCCCAAAAGTAAGTGCAGCTTTCCTATAGACTTTTTTAACCTGCATACATCAGAAAATGTACTGTGTCTACCTGTCCGAGGGGAACACTGGCGGTGGGTGGTGGACTCTCCATAGACCTCAGTTCCTGCAGAAGAGTTCCAGCATCGCGATGTCCTGCTGACTTTTGTGAAACACCAAAGTGCACCTCCCACACGTCTCGCACTCGGTCCTGCATTCTGATGTGATGCTCGCCTGTGGACGCCCATGGGTGACTGGAGACACAGGCCTGAGATACAACTTTGGAGTCTGCCAGCATCACAGTCAGCAGCTCAGCAACACAGAGATGCAGCCTGTGGACCTGAAGAGGAGGGAAATCAGTTTCATTAAGTAGTTTTGACTTTTCCTTTAAAATGTGCAACTGTAAAGGAGTGAGAACATCCTGTGCTGCATGTTGACTATAGGACTTTAAGATTAGTTTGATATACAAAACAACTCATGATGCTCTGTCTGGAATCAGTTCAGATTTGTCAAGACTATGGACCAGTGTCAAATATTCTGTTTTGAACCGGTGCATGTTAACAGTATACACTGTGTGCAGTAGTCTATCTGGATTCAACCATAGAGTGATGCTTTATTTGCCACTGACCAACAGGTTCTCCTGTGAGCTCAGGATTTCCTGGGATCCAACCCAGTCCTGAGCACCAGCCAGGTCTTTAGCGCATCTCAGCGCCAGCGACCGAGCCAGCGCGACCTCCCCTGAGATTCTTGCCACACTGGCCGCCGTCTTCAGTGAGGAGATGTCGTGCTTCCTGGCGATTACTTTGGCTGCATCGAAACCTGCGCCAGCAGCCAGGTAACTGGGAGATGAGGTTAATCAAACAAGAAAAGGTGGGTTTAAGTAACATTTGTGAAGAGATTTAAATGTATATTAAATGCTAGTTTAACCATGACAGAAAGATGAGAAGATGAAGGGCAGACATCACCATTTAGCAGCAGCGGAGAAATGGCCGTCCTTCTCCAGCACAGCAGCCCAGCAGGTGTACAGCTCCTTTAGGACGGGGTCGTCCGCTGGCAGCCTGGCTTTGACCAAAGCTATGGCCTCCCTGACAAACAACACACAAAGGTCTGTTCTCTGAGCATAGGAACACACATGAACATCACCTGGACTTAACACAGACGAAACATGCCGAGATTGGCATGAACTTAAAAATAGAAGAAGTGTCATTAAATATGTATAATCGGTAAATGAAACCTACAATCCATTATATAGCAAAACGAGATGCAAAGCAAACAAACTTCGCAGAGCTGTGTGTAGTTACAGTGTATGACCAAAAGTAAAAAAATTTGTGATTGCCCATGAAAAAACTCAAAGATTAAAGAGGAAAACCTGTAGTGCTTGTGAGAGTGCAGCAGGTCCACGGCCTCATACAGCTTGTTGAGTGACAGCAGGTGGGACGCTGCCTTCAGGTACTGCTCCTGCAGACACAGCTGCTTGACGAAGGCCTCCACTGTCTGGCTCCACACTTTGAAGCCCGCTGCAGGAGCAAACACAGCAAAGAACCGGTTTATTTCCCCAAGTATAAAAATCAGAAGCAGACCAGTGAAACCAGTCAAGAGGTGACCAAAGGACTAAAGACTACAGAAAGGGACTGTGTTACTGTGAAAGAGAGACTTTTCCAACCAGGTCACAACAAGCACAGTGAAGCTGAGCAGCTTCTTCATGTAGTTTTGTTAGTTTACAAAGTTTTCATTTAACCAGATTCCCAGAATACGTTTTATAAGCAGAAACTCATTCCTGGCAGAAAATTTTAATAAAAAAGATAAAAATTTGAAATCATTAAAAAATTAACAGGAGATACCGGGCACTAAATCATAATGGTGAGATACTAGAACTGTTACTCAGAATTACTAAGTCATAAATGTATCGGGACCAATTTTGACTTTTAAGTTAAAACAGTTCATATCAGCGACTGGTTTTTAATTTTGATGTCATGTGCAGGCAAATGCTAGAAAATTTGAAATACTCAGTCAAAACCTCGTGAACGTGCCTGGTTACTGTTCATAAAGAAAAAGTTCTTAAACTAACTAAACAATTTAAACAGCAGTTAGACATCAGCACAGTGTCAGAGGATCAGAGCACCTCCCAAAGCCCGATTCTAAGGCAACACATCAGTATTAACAGTGGTTACCCATAGGAGCGATGGAGAGCAGGTGGTCATTCAGCTCTCCTTTCTCTGTGGCCAGCTGCAGCGCCCCCTCCAGGTCTCCAGCCCACAGCCGCAGGTACACAACAGAGTCGTAGTGACCCGCTTCCACGTGACCCTCCACTGAAGGGTGACACACGCAGCAGAGTGAATGACCTCACTGACACAACATCAAGAACCCTAATTCAATTTAACATTTATACTGTGCTGTGATTTATACTGTAAGCACATGAAAGCAGAAAAAAAGAAAGTAACACATACCTTCTGCCTCAAACATGTGGAGCAGAGCCTCCCTGTCAGAAAAGAGGCCCAGATGGATGTGCTCTCCCTGGCTGAGGACACACCCTGCAGGGGGCACTGCACACAAACACACAGTCAGTGCACTGTTCTGCTTCTGACTGAGGCCTAAACCACAGTTAAACAAAACAGGAAAAGCTAAAGTTTGTGTCCAGCTGGTCAGCATCTAACTTTACACTGCTGCTGTAGTTTTCTACTGCGCATATGATTTACTGGCTTGTGCTCATACTGCACATAGCTATAGTACATACTGACACCAATGTTAGTTCTTTTTATTTTGTATGTAGCTTATTTTGTATATACCTTTTTACTATCACTACTCCACTGGTCTCTGTACATTAGTTTATATTTATAGAACTTTTTTTGTATTTATCTTCATGTAATCAAAACAGTTTACCTGTTTACTCAAAGTCTGTGTGTTGCTTTGACAACTGATGATCCAAAAGTAATCCTGATCTAAAGCCCTGATCCCACACTCGTTTGGGATCAGGGCTTTACTTTTACCACCGTGCCACCAGATGGAAATGTGTAATCCAAAACTAATCACTTATTCTGACTCTTCACCTTTACACACCGTCTTTCTAAATAATCTAATCATGTGAACCAGTAAACCAGACCAGCCCACAGAAAACTCAGTCTCACCATTGTTGTGCTTGACAGAGGCCAAAGTGATGCAGTCCTGCAGAAGCTCATCTTTAGGCCGATGGTCCATGGATGTGCTGATGGGCAGCATGGAGCGAGGCTTCTTCTTCTTTAGCAGGTTTGCGTCTGGAAACACGCACAGAAAAATGCACAGTTACATACAGAAACATCCGTACACACAGTTTCAACACCACATCCAGATTAAGCCATTTTGTTAAACCTAAGTCCATAGTCTACCTGGTTTGTCTTTGCTCTTAGCAGCAGCAGAGAATTTTCTTTGCATCTCAGAAGTAGCTGAAACAGAATTTCAAAATTAAGCTGAAGAATAAGTCCTACTGTTCAAATTTGGCACCGTTTTCTGCTCTGCTACCTGGTGGAAGTACAGAACTGCTCGCTGAGCTGACTTCTTCCTCATCTTCACCAGACAGCTCCTGTCCCGTCACACCCTTCTCTTCTCCTGTGACTGACTCTCCATTCATCTCTGACAGTGCAGCCCCTCCGCCCCCTGACATTTTTTTGTTCTTCCTCTTCTGCTTAGGATTGGCCTTCATCTTCTCCTTCAGCTCGACCATCTTCTTCCCTGAGAGGAAAAGCATGTGATCGTTGTTACAGTTACAACAAAAGACAGAGGAAGAACTATGACTTTTATTTAACCCATTCTTGAGTGTTGGACGATGGTTCTGGGTGGATCCGCAGTGCTGCAGAGACAGATGTTCACCTTTAGGTGGTTTTGTAAACTCCTGTTTGGAGACGCACCACTCCTGCACAGTGAAGTCCTTCCCTCCAGTCCAGATCACATCCGGATCGACAGGTGACCAGTCCACGCACAACAGATAACCAACATGACCCCGGTAGTTAGAGACAGCCGCCTCCTGCAGCACATCCCACACCTGAACAGGACATAAACATCCAACAGCGAAAGAGAAGAAGGAATCTAAATATGTGAATATGGGAAGTCCATGTATTACATGAGCAGTAACCCTGAACCCAAACCCTTCAAAAATGTGGTGTCTGATAAGAACATTATCTTGGCTTTATGGCCGTGGTGCTGACCTGGGCTGTGCCGTCATACGAGACAGTGACCAGCCGGGCTTTGTGGTGCGGACTCCAGGCCATGCTAGTGATTTTAGCTGTATGACCACACAGCCTGCGAAACGGCTCTGTCAACACCACAGGGCTTTCTGGAGGACTCTCTGCACAAAAGCAACACAGTAAAATTAATGCATACTGAGCAATTCAAATCTGACATATCCAAGATGTGATGTTCATCTCAGTGTAACCACTGGAATGCACATTTGGTGAGGTGACATTCCCTTTGCTGAAATAATCAAATCCAGAAAAATGCAAGCTTCTGCAGATAAGGTAGGGTTTGCAGAAAAATCCCTTGGGTGGATTTAATAATACGATGTGTTCAAGGTCTCTTCCCACCTATGATGGCGTGGAGGTCATGCACAAAGACAGTAGCATTGCTGGAGCCCGAGGCCAGGAGGCAGTGTAGCTCAGGTGGAGAGTTGTGGTCAGGGTGCCACAGTAGCACATTGATGATCTTGTGGTGCTGCTGAATGCTGCACAGCAGCTTCAGACTGGGAGCCTGATACACATCAATACACCTGCAGCAGAGGGCACAGAGCAGCCAATTAAAAGACAAAAACTGTACTTCTAGTAGGAATTCAAAGTAACTGTACTTCCAAGATAAGGTGAAAACTAGAAGGCAGGACGAGACACAACCAAACAGACTGGTTGCCCAAACATCTACTATTTGAAGAAACTGACATCTCATTGATTATAGTAGCTTTAAAACTTATGTTAGCTTTGTATAATGTCACTGTTCAAAGTCCAAAGTCACCACAAAACCTGTTCAACATTTACAAAGCTAAACAGTGAACAGATTTTCTGGTTGGTAAGGCCGCAGTGTTTTTTAAGTTTTATTGTGAATCTGCCTGGTTCAAGATGTTTAAGCATCACATATGACCCAGTTAACAGAAACAGATCCATTATTCTGTAGCCTACAGACTATGTGATGTCAATGGCCCCTTCCATGACTCCACAGGGCTGACGGTCTGTTATGAGAAGGGTCAGGCCCAACGGTTTGCTCACCCATCCTCGTTGCCGATGGCAACCACTTTCCCATCTGGCTTCCAACTGAGGTCAGTGTGTGGAGACAGCTTGTGCTGTCGGGAAACAGAACACCTTTATAACCTATTCAAATCGCCTCCATTTACATTCAGCAGCCAACTGTCAGAGCCAGGAGCCACAATATCTGCTTGATTAACACCTTGACACAGAAAACCTCAAATCTGTAAACTCTTCATGTGAATTCTCTGGGATTGTTCTCCACCCTGAAGTGTTTTTGTCAGGTTGTATTTTGTCTGACCGATGCTCCTGGTTCAGTAAAGGGTTTCTGAAGTCTGTGCTTAGATATAAATAGATCCTGAGAGAATACAGATAAATAAAGAAAGCTTTGCTATAACATTCTGGAAGGATGATTTGTGAACTGGCCAAACAAATATATGCATCAGCTGCAGAGAAAACACATGTATTTATTTTGCAGTTGTACCAGGCTGCTAAATGAGAACATCTAATGAATAGTGCCAAGTGTTAGTCCGTCAACCCCACAGTATCAACCAACACAGATAAAGCTTAGAAGTTGACTGTGACACAGATCGCAGGTGAACAGCCCAGAGAATTACATCATCATCACATCAACATCCCTCCCACCTTGATGTTGTTGGTATCTCTGATCAGCTTGTCGATGTCCGACGCCTCGCCGCTCAGCTTAGATGGATCGTGCTGCAGGATGATGCCTTCTCCGGCACAGCTGTACAGGCTATACGACGGCTTCCCTTCTACTGTCACACATGCAGAATTATAGATAGTTTCAGGGTCAAACTGCACCAGAGACATGAACTGAGCTGCACCAGTGCCAATGCAGCAAGTAAACAAATTAGTGGCTCCTTTTGTTCGTTTAGGAGCAATCAGCAGATTGTTGGCATGGCGACAATTGCATTTATGGCTTAAAAGATGTGTGATGGATACACAAATCAAAATGTCATCCGCCGACAGCTGGTAAATTTAACTTCCTACGCCTTGATTTCCCCATGAGTGGCTGAAGTAGGAGGTGGTGAGTAGTAAACGTTTCCTCAGCTCATTCAATTACTGAGTTGATTACAAAAGCGCACATGGAGGTGTTTGGGCTTTTGCCTCGCTGACGTGACACTTTTCAGCATCTTGCTGCCAGCGTTTTTGCTGGGTCAGAGCATTCAGAGGAGACAGCAGCAGTTGCTAAAAGTTCATTAGGAACTTACCAAATGACATCGGGGGGACAGGGGGTCCCCAGGCCAACGTGTACACTGTTTTTCGGTGATAGGAGCTTGATATCTGCGGAGGCCTGGGAGGAGATGAAGCAAAACAAATGACAAGTCAGGAGGAAATGACAGGAACAGCTGCAGGAAAATGGGACTCGGGGCCACAAGCGATTATGAAACAAGTCTCATGACTTTTACAAAAACTTTACAAACTGAAATCTCAGGAGTCATCCTTTTTTTGAAGTCATTTTTAGAAGTTGACCTGTCAAATCTTAGCATAAACAAACAAAAGTTATGTTTAAAAATTCCATTCAGACATAGTCAAAGACAAGAACACTGAGCTTTAAATGTTCATTTCTGATAGGGTTTCTCTGTTAAAAAAAAAAAAGCTTAATTATCTGGCCAGAAATTCTTAAAATGATTTACAAATCCAGAATACATGAATATGCAACAAATTTTCATTTCCAGCCTTCAACTACTGGATAACTGTCCCAAATTACTGAAAGACAATTGTCAATGCAGGCTCAGTGTTTAACATCACACTTGAGTAACCTTTTGGACCACCAGGACTGGCTTCCAAACTACCGGTACTCACAATCACACTTTCTCTGTGCTCATCTTGATGTACTGTACCTGAAACCTTCCCCTTTCAACAAATGGTTTTAAGAAAATGACCATAGGTAATAAACTATTAGACTAACAGAGAGGTGCAAAACGTGAAATAATGAATCTTACTTGTTTGAGAAGACATTGTAGATTCCAACTTTACCATCATCTGTTCCAAAAGACAAAGACCCTTCCTTCTTCGGGTGCCACGCCAGCTGCAGTGAATGGGAAGTTAACACATCTTATCTCAAGCACTTCCTTTATGTCAAGTCGTTCAGTGGAGGTTTGAAGATTAGAGTGAAAAATTAAAAGCGGTTTAAAGCGATAACATACAGCCTGAGTCACAGCAAGTTTACAAATGTCTTCAGAAGGTTCTGGCTGTGAGTGGCCGATAGGAGAGTATGTGGTCTTATCAGCAACTCAGCAGAAGAATTTATTAAACAGCTGACATTTAGCTGACTTGTGCCCACTGCTCTGGGATTTCCTCCCTCTAATCCATTTCAAATATGCAGTTGATTGTATACCATAGCTCAATATTAGTAGACACAGTTTCTATAAACCCAAATTAAAAGATAATTACAGGCTAAATGCTGATAAAAGATTAACTTACATGAAGCATTTAGACAAAATCAAGCCAAGACATCTTACCGCTGTGACCTTGGACTTGATGCCTTGCCAGAAGGACCTGGTGTCATAGTGGTTCTGGGTGGTCAGTGTGTTCCACACCCGGATCATGTTGTCACCGACACCCAGCGCCAGACACCCTGAACCAACAGGGGAGAAGGTCAGGGCGTAGACAAAACCTCCCAGGGTGGGCAGAGTCCAGCAGCAGTCCAGAGACGCCAGGTCCCAGCATTTAATCTGGGCAATAAGAAGTCAGAGGCGTCACTCCTTCAGTGAGTCAGCTTGGTAACAGCACGAAGTCAGAGGCGTCACTCCTTCAGTGAATCATATTGGTTACAGCATTTCTTGCAACCACCTTTCAATCAAATGCTTTTTGAAACAATATGCTTATTGGCTTTCTTGCCAAGAGTTAGATGACTGATCCCACTCATGTCTGTACACCCTGTGGGTAAATCCCAAGTCTCTTATAAGCACCAGTGTTTGCCTGTCTCGCGTCATTTTACTTGCTTCTTAGTCCTGCCTATGTAAGATGAAAGGAGAGAGGACTCAAGGAAAAACATTTTTAGATATGAGATATCCTTTCCTGTGATCCTTCATATGAAGCGTCCAATCACCAACTGATTTCTAATAAAGGGGCATCTTGCATGAAGGAAGGTCTTGTGTATCCTTGCTCATGGCTCCTCCAGCAGCCTCCTCCTGCCTCAGAGCAAATAAGAGTCTTAAAATGTCCGTGATCCTTGTTCAACCAGAATGACTTCTGGGTCAAGCAAGGACTGATGAACGATCATATAAAAGACCTGGGATGGATCCATAATGCAGCCCAGCCAAGCAGTCAGCTCACTTAGCACAAAGTCTAGCATATAACCCCCCCGAAAAACACTACATGGTCATTAAATGTAGATAAATTGATAATGGGTTAATCAGTGAACTTCAGAGGTTGACTGGTGGATTTTGTTAGCTCTGAACAGAGCCAGGCTAACTGCCTCCCCCTGTAACCAGTATTTATGCTAAGCTAACTGACTGCAGGTGGAAGGTTCATATTTAACTGTCAGATATTGATATATATGAGTGGTACCGATCTTCGCATCCAACTCTCAGGCAAGAAAAGTGAATTAGCAGTTTTGAAAAGTCAAACTACAGTTACAAGAAAAAGTACTACGAGTTCTCAGTCTTATGCTGGACAACAGCAGACTGTCCTGATTTGGTATTTCAGTCAAACCAGCCAGGGTGGTTTTGATATCACATAAAAAATGTGAACTTTCCCAGCACGTGTCAAACAGAGGTTGTTTAAAGCTTCTGTTGTGACTCACCTCTCTGTCCATGGAGGTGCTGATGAGCAGCTCTCTGTCGTCCTGCAGGTGAACTGAACTCATGTTGAAGACGATCCTGCTGTGGTTCTGACCTTCTGAAGAAGCCCCGAACAGACTCCACCTCTGCTTCCCTGACCTGGCCAAGTCCCACATCACCAACTCACCACTGAGGACACACACAGATGTAAGCCCATGCATGCTCTTAACTAAAGTATGTGAAGATGAATAATGTCTTTGTATAGTCAACAATCCAAGCCATCTGTTTACATTTTATTAGCTTTGTTTTGTACTGTAGTTTGTGCTGTTTACTGCTGTCATCTAGCCAGGATGCTCCTGACAAATCTGCTGATCTCCAGACACTATAAAAGGAATTACTGGTGATTTTGCTCATTTTATTGTCTTCGCTACAACTGGAGCATAATCTTCACTAGCCCCTGCTTGTAAATGCATCACTGCAATTAATAAGGGTAAAACACTGACAGTTTCAAAATCTCTGCAATATGATTAACTGCTATTAAGAAAGGAAAACAACATAAAAACTTGTATTTACTTCAGAAAATGATTAAGTAAGGTGTCTTTGATGTTCTGAGTAAAAGACGTGTGTATACCTGAAACAGCTGGACACAAGCTGTGTTGGTCGTCCCTGTGGCCAAAGGACGCTGAGCCAGAGTCTTTCTTTGACCCCAGGATCAGCTGCGGAGCTTCTTTTCTTCAGATACGGCAGCTTCAGAGTCATAACACCTGTAAGTAGAGGCGAATGACAGGATAAAAAAAAAATCCCAGGTCCATCTTTCTTAAAAGCACATAAGCAATGTGAACACTTTTACCAAAAGACCCATTATAAAATCGAATCATAAATTAAGACTCCCCTGTCCTGCATAAATGATTACTATCTGTACAGTTTGCTTTTTGGAGAAAAAGTATAAGGTCTACATTTTAATGATAACTACTCTAGCGAAAATAACTAATTTGGTCAAAACTAGGGTGAACCTCACTTTTGCCCTTCACTGTGCTCCAGATCCTCACGGTCTGGTCTTTGCTACCGGAGGCAAGATAGCAGCCCTTCTCTCCCACTGTAGACACTCCATTAGATGCTGCCAGATTAAACAAAGTCCACATGTCACATGAATAATCAAAACAGGATCATCAGCACTTTATATTTCTCTCTATCTTTTTTTTTTTTCAAAATATAGTCATTTGCGCAAAATATCACACACACACAAAAAAGCAGATAATGAATCAAATCAATATAGGAATGGCAGGCACCTTCCCCGTCCTCAGGTCTGCTGCAGAGGGCATCCTCTCTGGCCAGCGGCGACCACACTAGCGAGTGGATCTCATCGTCATGTCCACGGAGACGGTGCATCACCTCGCCTTTTTTACTCACATCAATCAATATGATCATCCCATCTTTGTACCTTAGACAGAACAATAACAGAGTTGTCACAATCACTCATACTGTTATGTACAGTATATGCTGATTACAGTTTGACTCTCAACTTCAAGAATGTTTCCTGTTACAAAAATTCTGCAAGCTAAAACTGCTGAATTGGAAGCAGAAGAGATGAAGTGAGGAGGGGTCTGCAGATATCAGATTTGAAGTGTTTACTTTAGAAGGCCCCTTCAAAATCAAATCTAAAGAAACAGAATGCCAGTTTTATAGACTGTATTTGTTTTTTACTTTAATGGGGGCTCCAGAGGGGTATTTTGACCACTTTCTACAGTGAGGTACAAAGGGAGTATTGATTAATGGAGAATATGCTGCTCCTCAGGAGGTAGGTACAGCATGTAAAAAGGAAAGCTCTTTACTCTCACTGTTGTGAATAGAAACTCCATAAGCGATGTGCTTTCTTTTCAGTACACATTCTGCTGATTTTAATCATTTTCAAGTTTTAGCTATTAAGCAAACACTGTTTCTCTGTCTCTAGACACTCTGCTTACATAGCAGTATGTAAAGTACTTGGTTTTGATGCTCATCAGAACCAGTTAGCTTAACTGCTAAACTTTCTTAGCAGCCCAGTGGGCAAATGACAGAAATGACACATAGTAAACTACAGTCAGAGCCAAAATATTTTGCTCTTCTTTTTTTTTTATTGAATCAAATAATTTTTTAATTGAATGGTGAGCCTGCCAAAGATTCCCACCCCTACTGTTCAGACAAAGCCACACTAAACCAGTCTTATTTTGGTTCAGATTTGAGTTCCTGGGCTTTGTTTACAGAAAAAAAAAACCCTTTCAGTCCCCTCAGGATACACTGTGGTGTTTACAGTGGTGCTCTGTGGTCTTCATACCCAATAGCCACAGAGTTCCAGGTGTGAGGGGAGCAGGTCAGGCAGAAGATGGTCCTGGGCTCAGGAAAGAAGCTGGCAGTGTCCCCTGTGTGGTACCACTGACATACCACGATGCCCTTCTCATCCCCCGACACCACAAGGTTTTTATCCACCGGGGACCAGTGCACTGCTGAGACGGGGCTCTGTGTGTGTGGACAAAACAACTTCAGCGACAATATGTCAAAGTAATTACTCTGGATTAAGGGAAAGGTTTTGTGTTTTATGATTGCTGAAATGGAAAAAAACACATTTGTGCTTCACAGACTGTTTTATGCCTCATTCATGTTAAGCAAACTGTTCACATCCATTGTTGGACTAACAAATAAATACCTATTTTAGATCCAAATCTGTCCTCAAAGATGGAAGCCCACCCATCCTGTCTCTCTGTGGTTTTCAATTTTCAGATTAAACCACAAAATACCATCCCTAGCAGGCATACTTTGAAGCAAATAATGGAAAGTAAATAAGCGGTGCCCTTTTTAACTCGGACAGCTGTTTTAAAAAATGCCCTCAAGACAATGAACTGCTGCAGAGGAGTGGCTTTGAAGCCAACTACAGAAATATGTTGTGCCGTTTGTCCCCCCAGAGTAAAAACTGTCAAGCTCAGATGGTGAATTTTCTCCCCCCATCAGTCAAATCTCACCAGGACAGCTCAGAAATGTGTGACTGGGTCTGACAGACAGCTGCTAGTGCAAAGCAGACATCAGCCTGCAGGGGGCGCCAGCATGTTGTGAAAATGCATCGTTTCTGCAGCGATGAGACATCAGGACAGGACAGTTGACTCTCACCCGATGAGTTGCATGCTCCCTTATAAGAGACTTGTTGTCTGAGTCCCAGAAGCGAATACTTCCATCACTGGACGAGCTGGCACAGATGTGACTCTGCCCTGCATGCTGACAAAATGAAAAGCCTGACACCAAGTCTTTATGGCCAGCTAGCTCACCTGAAAAACACACAGAGACGTGGCTGTCAGTGTCACCAAGGTGTAAAACCAGGAAAGGGGCCACAAAGTATTGAAACTGAGGTGCAAGGCCCTGATATCGCTACTGAATGGATTTACCAGAGTGGTGACTGGAGATTTTTACTTTCACACAGAAAAAACTAAATCTTCTTAAGGCCTTGCAAACAGTTGTAGTTGATGTCTTCTGTGGCTCTGTAAAAGCTTTCTAAAGTCTTAGAAAATCACCGCTAATTGCTATTGTAAGAATCTGGATTTCTACAGAAATTCTGTCACAAAATAGCTTGAAAGAGGTGGACAGGTACGGTGGTGGGTATAATGAAAGATGCTATAAAGCTACATTATGGAAAGAGGCTCTCTTAGAAATCTCATTTATCCTAAAACTCAAACACTGCTGCTACAGCTTTGACCTCTATCCCCCCTCTATCCCATCAAAGTGCAACAAACATAACTCACCAACATCTCCTAAGTAATATTCGATTGTTCTTGATTTCCTGGTTGTTTTCTTGATTCCTCTCAATACTATTCTTTTTTGTCTTGTTCCTAGGTATCTTTTTGACTTGTGTCTCAGGCACAAACTGTGGGAGGTCTATTCTTGTTCTTGATTGTCTCTGAAATACCATGTTTTTATTTGGTTTTTCAGATACCTGGATCTTGTTTTCTCAAGAATTGTGTGGGGTGTTTATTCTTATGGTGTCATGTTGTTTTGTCTTTTACTGCTGCAGGAACACTGGAATACTGCTGCAGGAACACTAAAATGTCCCCACTGTGGGATCAATAAAGTCCTACCTACCTACCTACCTACCTACCTACGTACCTAATCATTTAGTCTAAATATGTCTGAAAATGCTCACCACAGTTTTCCAGCACCCAAAGTGTTTGTTGTGCCCAACCAATCCATAATTTATGAGCAGCAAATTCTGGAACCGGCTATTTTTTCAATCTTTGCTCGATAAATGGTTTAAACAATTACTCAATTATCAAAGTGGTTGTATCCATGAATCAAATGATGTTTCCAGCACTAACCTGTAGTGCTCATTCAATCATTTTAGTTAATAAATAATAAGTCAGGTCTTTAAGCCACCAATGTATTTTGTCTTTACTGTCCTAAGTGGTTGCTCAAATAATTATTTCAGCACTATTCCTTTCATTTCTCACATCACTAATCTATGATCAGGTTGCTAACATGTCGTTTTGTTTCAGTACGTACGTCCAAGAGTATAAATCACACCTGTGGTGATCTCAAAAACAAAGACATGACTTTTACCTGGAGTTAACACGTTTTAGCTTGAGAAACTCAAAAACAAATGCTAAAGTGACCTCCGTCCTATCTGTGTGATACCCACCAGTGACAGCAGACTCACCTACGACCTTGCACACGGATGCAGACACATCAATCAGATAAATTGTGTTTTTGGCTCCGATGCCCAGTAAACCTCTGCTGTTGATGTCACTACAGCGCGAGCAGTACCAGTTGGGAGAGGCAGGCAGCGATCTTTCGTGCATGGCGCCTCTGACAGTTTACAATAGCTGTTCTCTAGTAGAGCCTATATTCCCAACATTAAACTTCTCACATGTTACGATCACTACAACACTGACGGTCGTACATTTAACGTGGTGTCGTAAATCTTGTTGGTGTCGAGTACGGAATCCTAGATGGGTCAACCGTGCCGACTTTGCAGTCTTAAAAAATTTTTAGCAATTGTGTTACATCATCATTTTTATTGCTGTTATTTTTAAAGACATCTTATAACCAAAGGATCTGAGTCACATACAGTAAAGACGACAAAAACCCTATTTCGCTGTTAACCCGGTAAATATTAGTATCGTAAACCGAAGACGGCACAGTCGTAAAAATGCAAGATGGCGACTGCAATGACAGGACGTGGTAGGAGAAATTTATCTTGATCACCAACAAATTGGCTATTATATATGTTCGTTATGTTTTAACGGATTTCTACTTTCTCCAGGTATCTCTTGTATTAGGAATATATCTGGAGCGTTGCTATCAAGGTTAGTACATCGATATCGGTGAAGCATCATAGCTATTAGCTTTAAGATAGCTAATATATTCACTGTTTCTGTAGAAAGACAAAGCAAACCCATACCGGTTACTTGTGTTCGCTGCTTCTTTTTTGCATGATAACAATGATAGTGTACCTGTTAATATACTGGTGAATATCAGCAGCATCAACGTATTATGAGTCCGACTTCAGTATAGCATGTCACATTATTAACAACTTTGCTGTGTAACATTACATAGATAACGTTAGGGAGCGGAAGCTGCCTGTTCACATCACGTTACTTAATGCACCGGTATAGTTAGGAGGCGAAATTGAGTGTTTATTGTCGAGGAGTGATATGCAGAGTGTTAACACATACACACCCTACACAGTTATTATGGTAAGAGGGAACAGTTACATTAGCACTAACAGCCTGGACATAAACAAGATACAGTGAATTTTCCCTGCTTGTAGCAAACTTGACATGCAGGTGGACTTTCAGCAAAACAATCTTTTGGAACTGATGATGAAATAATATCGCACTTCTCACATATACAGTGACATGCCTCTGCATTTCTCCAGGATACAGGCTCTGGGTGGCGGCCCTCAGCAGCTCTCTTATGTCCACACCAGCGCTTCACTGGAAGAAAAACACTGGGAGAAGAAGAACCGGAAGGTGTATCCACCTCAGCATCCAGATGAGCCTCGCAGACCAGCAGTGAGTCTTAACATGAAGTGCAGAGTGAGAGCATGTCCCACTCAGGTGTCACCTGTGGGAAAATGAGTTGGTTTAAAGACTTTAAAATGATTGTATGTCAAGTTTCAGACTGTGAAGTTGGGTTTGCTCTCTACAAACATCTTAATGTATATAAACATGTTGGTATTTTTTTCCCCACAGGAGATCCACCACGGTAGGAGGCAGATTAAGTACAGCAAAGACAAGATGTGGTACTTAGCCAAACTGGTAAGACATGGGATTTTTTTTTTCCAGCAATATTAAATTCTTAAAGCAGCGTCATTATGAATAGCATCAAACAATGTCCTGTGTTTCTGCTGTAGTGAGTGATTTTGTGAGATTCATCTCTGTGCAGTGCTTGTTTGAAACAGGTATTTTTAGTTGTGCATTGTTTTCTGACTCTTGAATTTTAAAACATCCACTGTGGGTCAAGAGTGAACAGACTACCAAGGATGCTCTGTGTTTGTTTGTTTGTTTGGCAGGATATATAAATAGGTTGTCAACATCTCTTGGTGTTACGTGGTGTGTGGGGCGAGTTCTTTTATTTGAGAAGAGAAGACTAGTAAACGGCTATTCCCCAGTGTGAAATGTATTATGCATTAACGGATCAAAATAAGCATGTGCACATGGATCTTCACTGTTTAGGATAAACAGAAAAGACTGTCCTCAACTTGTCGGTATACAATATTTGTATGAAAAGGTACTACTATCTAATTGGTCAAAAACTGTTGGGGAGAAGCCGTGGTTTAGACTTAACTCTCCCGTGATTGGTCCTTCAGTCCGTCCGTCCTCCAATCGTCCTCTCTGCTCCAGTGGTCGTGAACAGCACCCTAAAAAGGGGAGGAATACCTATACTGTCTTAATTTCTACATAAACACTTAATTCTTCCTTTGTTTCCAACTAACTGCTCCATATTAGGCATTGCTTTCTGGTTCTAATTAAAACTGCTCTGCCTCTGTGTGCGCATATGGTTTTACCTTTGAAGTTTTCTCCTCTTCCTGGCTTCAGATCTAATCTCTGTTTACTAACCATAGTGTCCCAGTGAACCCTAATTCCCCTGGGCTCATCTGCCAGGTGGTGATAGTGTGATATGTAACTACATAAACATAACTGTGAGAATAAAGTATATAGACTTATGTATGCTATAAAATAAAAAAACCTTAACTAATTCTATTCATATCTACTTAAAAATAAAAATCACCCTAACAGGTGGAAAGTCAGTTAAGATAACTGAAATGTAATTGCCATCACTATACAAACCTTGGAATGATTATTAGTTTTTCATTATCTATCCCATGCAGCTGTTTTTCTGTTGTTTTCTTCATAGACTCGCTGTGGTCAGAACTGGCTGAGGATGGTGCTACAGTTAAACAGCACTATCAGCAGGCAGTGCAACACCCTGAGGTCCTTACATCTGAGCAGGAAAGGTTAATGTGGCTGTTTCATCTCACTCATTCTTTGTTCTCCTTCACAGATCCGAGGGTTGAGCATTGATGAAGCCGTTGCACAGCTGGAGTTCAATGACAAAAAAGGGGCAAAGATCATGAAAGAGGTTTGTGGTTGCATGTTCACCCCTCCTGACTCTTAGCAAACATATGTTTGCTAAAATTAACACAGCAATTACAAATGAATGTTAATGTAATGTTAGTTGTTGTGTGGTCATTCATGCATCATCATCCTGTCTATGTACAAAAAGTCTATGTCACAGATCTTTGTTTGCGTGTGTGTTTCAGGTCCTCCTTGAAGCCCAGGAGATGGCAGTCAGGAATCACAATGTAGAGTACAAATCCAACTTGTATGTAGGTGAGTTTCTGCAGCACTGAAGGACTTCACTGTGCAAACAGCTGCACATTAAGAACACAAAGTACCCTCTTGCAGCTGGATGTCTAGCCTCTAATCTACACTGAGTGCATTTTAGATGCATTTTCTATGTGCGTCTCAAGCTGCAGTTAGAATTCCATTCTATAAAATGTCCATCCACACTGACTCAAAGTCGCGCACCCCTCACACATATGCATGCACATTTTTTACACTGCAGGTCTGTTGTGTTTTCCCCTCTGCTGTGTTTATGAAGCCTAATCGCCACAGACAGTTGTTTAAATCACACAAATCCCCATATTTTGTGTCTTGCAAACCCTTTAATGTGATCGGGCTCTTGATCCACCTCTGAGCTTTTTGGTTTCACTTTCACGCGCCGCCCGCAGTGAGCTGGGGAAAACCAATAAAATTATTAAACCATGCGTACTTAAATGTGCCAATGAGTTCTTCCTGACACACTTGCATGAAAACCTTTGGTCCAGTACATTTCCGTTCATCAGTCAGTCTGGTGAAGACTCTTTGTTTGGCCGCTGTCCTGCTGACAGACGGTTGTTCTAATGATAAAGACACAGAACACGTCGCTAACGTCTCGCTTTCAGTGTTGATTCCCAGTGAGTATTAAAAATAATTTCTCCTTGCCTCATTTTCTGGGTTTTAGCTAATGTGGTTGCTAATTGTCTTGAACCTGAACAAGACATTCAGACCAAATAATAAAACCCATTCATCTGTAATGCCTAAACATGTTAACATAAAGCAGTTGTTAATGAGTAGATTTTGAGACAACCTGCTACCTGAGTAAAAAGCAAACGGACAAGACTGAAAACATAAGTGACTTTGTTGATGAAGATATTTGACATTTTAAATATGTTTTGGTGTAAAAATCTTATCATGTAAAGATGTTTTTTATTTAAGTATGCAGACTTTGTTGAAGTATGTGCAAATGAAAAAGTTTTGCTTCCCAAAACTACTGAGAAATCTAATATTATCCATCAGATGGTGTAAGCCATTGTGCCAAAAGCAAGAAAAAATAAATTTCAAAGTGTGAAAATGGACATTCATTTGGAGGGAAAGCGGGTGATTTTTATTTTTTAAAAGCAGTAGATTTCTTCTGAGTTCAGATCCTGTGAAGAGAGAGTCCTTTATATGAAGTTGCAACTGTTATTACAGATAAGGCTAAAGTCACCTCCATCTTTATTTTGACCCGTTTTCATTCAAAGGCACCTCTATGAATTTAATGAGTTATTCTGTGCCTTATCTCACCCCCTCTTTTCATCCCATACTTTCCCTCCTGCAGCTGAGTCCTTCTCCAGCAAAGGGAAGTACCTCAAGCGAATCCGTTACCATGGCCGAGGGATGTTTGGCATCATGGACAAAGTTTACTGCCACTACTTTGTCAAGCTGGTGGAGGGACCACCACCCAAATTGCAGGAGAAGACGAGCTTCAACCAGGCCAAAGAGTATGTCCAGAGCCTCAAGAACAGAACCATCATTCACAGTCTGTAGGTCATGTGACTGTTGACATGTTCCTTTTACTGTCTCTGTGTGTATGTGTACCACTAGATATTTGTAAATAAAAAATGAGTGAATGGGTATTGAGACCTTCTACTGTTGCTCTTTCATGCATGTACATTTGTGATTGTGCAAGTCTGCTTTTGTGGGGTGCTTGAGGTTATACAGGGTGACAGGCACACTGGCATCGGCACTGAGGACCTCTTATACTCACTGTCACGAGTGGCTTCTGAGAACCAGACATTGATCCTTGGAGTGGAAAAGACAGACGGTCTGAATGGAGTGTCTTCCTTCACAGCAGATTTATTAGGAGAAGCTTTATTGCCTGATAGGAAAGTGTGTCTGCATTTGTCTTCAGTTAGTCTCTTATTCACCGGGACGGGCCTGACCTTGAAAGCACGACTTTGATTTGTGCAGTGCAGTTTAACTTATTCTGAAAGCTTCTTCAGTTCTTTAAATGAAACTCTGTACATTTCCTTCTGCTCTCCTTAGGAGTCAATGGACTCCAGCTTGTTAAAAATGCACCTCATAGAGTTTGTGATAAGCTTTGAGACCCTTTGGCCCTGTCCACTTGATTACAGCATAGCAGGAAAACCATAACGATTATGGCAGAATGAGTGATACTGTTGTCTCTGGTTGCTCCAAATAGGGGATGTGCCAGGTTAATTTAAGGTATTGGCATCAGGGATTTGTTGGATGTATTAAGTCTGATTTTGTTACAGACTGTTGTGACAGGTTTTTGTGCACTTTGGTGCTGTGTAAGCCTGTATATTGACATTTTCTGGTGTTCAATTAGATTTCAGTCTACTTTCTCCACCAAAACACTTGTATTATTGTTATTATTTTGGATATTGAATGAAAAAAGCGGTTTATTGATGTTGAACTGCACCTCCCATTTTTTCATGTTTGCTTATATTGAGGGACAAATATATAATTTGCTTTCATTTAATTTATTTCTTCTTTCAATCTGTTTTTATCTTATCTAAAAGTCCCACAGAATGTAATTATGTTTTTTAGTGTGTCTTCATCTATTTATTTGCCTCAGCCTCCTACTCATTATTATTGTCTGTTATTCTACTACTAAATTGAATTTAGACAAAAAGAAAACATCCTTAGGGGAACAAACTGAGGAGACATGAAAACATGTTCCGCTTTGGAAATTAGTATTTTCTAAAGGTCACAGTGTCTCAGTGTTGTCGAGGATCAGAGCTTTGGTCTCTGCTGTTTCTAATTGGCCTTTAGTTTCCTGTTCCTGATGTGAGTGATCCAACTTGTGTACCTGCCCATCACCACGTCTCTCCCGAGCCTTGTCAGTTCTGAGCAGCTTTTGGTGTATTTTCAAATAAAATGCCATCTGCTGGCCTCAATTTCAGCAGACATGTGCCCCCAATCTTAGTTTGGAGGCTGGCTTGGGCCCTCAGCACAAAGCAGCACCAACTTCTGAAAAGAGCAAAAGGCTTCATCTACCTCCTTATTTTCTTCTTCACTGCCTCACTGTTTCTCTTTCCTCCGGCATTCCACCTCCTGAGAACAAGCATGCTGGAAACAATTAGTAGAATGGCCACTGTTTCAGTTTATTAAGCAGTTGCAGTGTTGAGACTCTGTGCCAATGTGACCTCTGGGCAAAACATATTGTTGGATCGTGCTGTTGCTTGTTTTCTTTTGGATCACTAAATAACTAAATGAGTTAAACATTGGTTTAGTTATTACAGCAGTAGATAGTACAGTCCAAGCATGGAGTGTATCAGTTGTTTCTGAGGTAAGTAAAACCCTGCAGCAAACATCCATCCTATGTCAACGGTGTCCAGAAGTTGACTGCTTTGGGCTCAGAGGTGCCTGGGGTGGACCGTCACACAGTGGAAACGTGCACTGTGGTCAGACCAATCAGGATTTTAGGTCTTTTTTGGAAGAAATGGATGCCGTGTGCGCCGGACCAAAGATGAAAAGAAGTATACAGACCGTTACCAGCAACCAGTCCAAAAGCCAGGGTCTGTCATGGTCTGGGGTTGTGTCAGTGCCCTGGGAAAAAAGTCACTTACACTTGTGTGACGGCTCCATTAATGCTGAACAATACATAGAGATGTTGGAGCAACATATGCTGCCTTCAAGATGACGGTGTTTCCAGGGATGCCCATGCATATTTCAACAAGACAATGCAAACTTCATCCTGCCACATGACCAAGGCCTGGCTGTGGAGGAAGAGGGGGCCAAGTGCTGGACTGGCCTGCCTGCAGTCCCGACCTGTCCCCAGTAGAGAATGTGTGGTGCATTTTGAAACACACATTGTATCAATGAAAACCCAGGACTGTTGCACCTTAAAACTTGTTTGCAGGGAGAATGGGACAAATGTCCTCAGTCCCCAAACGTCTTTTAAGTGAAAAGGAATGGCAACTTCACACTGTGGTAAATGTTTCATTGTCCCAAGGATGGCTGCGGCTCATGAGGTAGGGCAGTTGTCTCCTGACCAGCAAGTTGATGGTTCGACTCCCGGTCTCCCCACATGCCTAAGTGTCCTTGAGGAAGATACTGAACCCCGAGTTGCTCCTGGTGGCTTGACTAGCGCTGTTGTGTGGTAGCCTGCCGTCGTCGGGGTGTGAATGGTGTATCATCTCTTGTAAAGTGCTTTGGCTGGTGCAACACTGTGGAAAAATGCGCTATATAAATACAGTCCATTTACCAACTGTTTTGAGGTTGTATTAAGCTTGAATGTCAACATATAAATCTCAATGATAATTAAGCAAACAGTTACCTTTTAAATACAGTTTTTCAGATGACTGCCGTCATGGTCAAGAATGCACTTTCATGCTTAGCTTTTGTTTTTGTGTGTTGACATGTGTGCCAATGTCATTTACCAGGAAAGTGCAAATACAAAACAGGATTTCTTAGTTTCTGGTATGCTGGTAATGGTGAGAGTTTTGTCCCCGGTTCACTTCCAGTTCATAGGCCTCTCTCTCCCCTCAAGCCCTATCTGCCTCTTCACCATCATCAGCTGCCCAAAAGAAATGCTAAACAAAAAGAAATCACTAAAAACATTCTTATATAACCACCATTCACACCTACAGTTTACTGTAAGTATATGCAAAACCAGCACACCGTGTCCTGATGTGTCTTGTTCTAAGTTATTGGTGTGGTGAAACACTTGTTTTCCTCCTTTGTGGTTTTCATGAGAGGTCATATAAATGAGTGATAAAAATGAGAAACTAAGCTGTGTTGGCCCCACCACCCCTCCGCAGGGACTATGGAGTTCAGTGGTTACATGAAGTGAATTATGCATTGTCTCTTTCTAACCATGAGCTCATCCAGCAACAAGATAAGAAAACATTCATTGGGAATTAAATGGACCTTATTATTCATGACAGATGAAACTGTGCATATTCTGTGCCCAAGTGTATGTCCTACACAACCCTGGCCCCCATGCACACCTGGATAAAAGAATGAGACATCATGATGATTCCTTTCATTTGTTTTTAATGTCAGTTGTTGGTCAACATCCGGGGTGGCCCAGCGGCGGCTCAGCTTGGGAAGCAAACAGAAATCAGAAGCCAGTTGTGTGGGAATTGCCTCAGGGTGTTATTCATTTCCTTTTAACTTTTCCATTTTTGTTTTTCCCTCTCTCTCACTCTTTGAGTCTCTCTGTGGTGGTGATGTGCAGAGGACGACAGCCGCAAAATGGTGTTAGCTTCCAAATTAAATCTTGGGCACAAACAGCACAGAGCAAGCTGCCTGCTGGCTGGCGCTGGATGCTTTGCCCTTGAGAAACAAATCCAGATACAGAACACTTTGTTAGCTCTATGGACAGCCTCCAATAAAGCTGCATTCACCTATTTTCCTGAAAAAGCTCACAGTCTTTGTCTGTCTGACAGTGACACATCTGTGTTGCAAAGAAAAGAAAGAAGCAGAAATGAAAGTACTTGAGCACTTTTGTGTTCTGTATGCAGCCCAGTATTTTAGTTGAATTGTTACTAAGAACAGCCAGGTTTTTTTAAGATTCGGTGTGCTTCAAAACAACTACTGTTGTGCAGTGTGCCATCTGACCATGTCTGAAGGGAAAATGCCTTTATTCCTGTTCTGAATTACCTCACTTAAGCGTGGGGCGAAAAGCCTGCTCTCATAGAGGGGAGTAAGGTGTGATGGAAGAAGTACTCAGATTGTTTACTAAAGTAAAAATATCAACACCATAATGTAAAAATACTCTTGTACAAGTAAAAGCCCTGTATTCAAAATGTTACTTAACTACAAAAGTATTAGCATCAAATATACTAGAAGTACAAAAAGTAGAATTGGCCACTCATTGTGCTGAATGGCACATTAATACTGGATCATAATGACTGATGTATTATTGTGCTCGTCACATTTAAAGTTGCAGCTGGTAAAGGTGGAGCTAATTTTTAACTACCTCATATTTGAAGTACTTTACATACTGCTGGGTAGCTTGTGAATTTCCCACCAGGGTTCAATATGATAATACTGCATTTTGTTTTATTAACCTCATTCTGAAAGGTGACTAGTAATTAAAGTTATCAAATAAATGCAGTGAGTACAAACACAATATTTCTCTTTGAAATATAGTGAAATCAAACTATGAAGTAGCAGAAAATGGAAATACTCCAGTAAAGTACAGATATTTCAGAATTGTACTGAATTACAGTACTTGAATAAATGTACTTAGTTACTTTCCACCTGTGATGAATTGTAGAAATTGTGGTAATGGCACACACACTTTAAGGCAGCATCTTCTCAAAGCTATTGTGTTTTGTTTACACAAAAAGTGGCAGAAAAGATCTTAAGAAATAAAATCAATCCCTTCCTTCATAGCTCTGTACATTTGGCCAAATACTACATTTGACTTTGTCCATTTTTGTATAAAGTTACAAATATTGTCGGACAAAGGCCTCTCCGCAGTTAGAATTCCTCCTGGGGGAATCCTAAGGCGCCAGAGGACCACATTGGATATACAAAGATATTTTTAATGCATGATCAGAGACTTAGGTGTCTTACCTTGTGTTAGTTCATGTTGCCTCATACTGCTAGCCATAAGCAGAGATGAAGAGAGGGTGTCACAGGTCTTATAGGTACAATCA